AGATAATTCAACTGAGTCGTTCATCGCCTTAACGAGATAAGGTGAATTCCTCTTTTATGTATACATGTATGTATATATGCATGCATGTATGTATGTATGTATGTATGTCGTTAGGGTGCTCGAGTTGCTTTTATCTGGAGGAACTGATCAATTCGACATTTCGTGTGTCACCTACATTCAGGGCAAGAGACAAGTCAGCCTAAACTGCACAAAATCTATGAGTTGTGTCTACCTTATTTCGTTTAAGGTGATTAGGGAATGGTAGTTGAATTTTCCCACCGGTTTATTGTCCTGCGAATCCAAGGAATAAAAATGAGCCGAAGACATCTTCGCACTATCCAACAATCTTCAATCCGCTACTATCCTTCTGCTTTTTGGGATAGCAATTCATAATTCCTTTTAACCAACCTTTTCTTTGAAGTGAAAAGTACAGTTGAAATAACTCGTTTAGCCAACATGGTCGAGACGACAGGGAGATCTTGTAGAAAGTACTTATTCCTGCGTCTTTTGCCATAGTATTCAGGCCTTCCTGCATCTTATCGTTCACTTGGTACATTCCAAAATGTTTCGCCGGCAACGTCACTGAGAGTCGTTATCGTTAGCACAAACTTATAACTTATCAAAGTGATGCGTCACTATGGTAAAGTATGCAGTACTAGGTACGTTCAACAAGATCTCCCTATTGCTCTGATTAAGTTGCGAAACCGAGGTTAAACCAACACTATGCAGCTAAAGAATACTTCTTTTCTTCATATTTCTGTTTTTCGTATATGAGCAAACTTTAGAGACTACCAGTAAATCAGTAATCTGTGATGAAGGACTGGTAGTAGAATTTTCCCACAAATATATAAGTATAGCCAGCATTTCCATTAAATTGTACATAGCTTTGCTTTTCCAAAAGGTGTTCTCATTCATACTGAAGTGGACTGCAGTTTTATAAAAGTAAGGCTATGTCAAATTCAATGGAAACTTCAGCTCTACACATATCATTGTGGAAAAACTCATCTACCAGTCCTTCATTAATTAAACGAAATAGAGTAATCACAACTTATATATATGATTTACCTGTGGCCTCGAAAAGCCACTCTAAAACGAAATTATAAAATTTGCCTAAACACCTGCCCGTAGTCCCCTTCTCGTCGCAAACTGCTCCTCACTATATATACGAAGAAAATGCGGGTCTCGAAGAATCTCTTATGATAAGATTGATGTAAAGACCTGCATTTCGTATGGAAGTCTATGATGAAGAAATTCGTCATGCCTGGTTGAGAATACCTTTTGTGAAAGCAAGGCTATATAAAATACATCATCGCCAACCCCACCACAGAACGGCGTATGGGAAGATGCTTCGCCTTATTTGAAATTCACAGCTGATCTTTGACCCAAGGGCACGCTGCGCTATCACGGTTCGAGTCCCGATGGGCCTACTGATGAGGTCAGTTGAGGTGAGGCTGGACATGCAGTCCACTTTTGTCTTTCAACATCTTAACAAAATATGGTGATTACGTCTCATATACATAAAATGAACCTTTATTTGGGGGCATAAAAGCTGGTAGGTCATTTTCTCCACTCTAACGTGTTTTCCCAAATGTGACGAGGACAGGTTGTCATGGCCATGGGGAATGACGTTTTTGAGATGGCGTTTTCTCTGTCTTTAGAGACTTGTGCCTGCCTTCTTAAAGCTGGCATTGTTGCTGTACATTGAGTATAGTCTCAGGTGCTACATCAGCTTCGCAGTCAGTGGATGGGCAGAAAACTCGGTGTGGCATGAAGATGGCATTATTCCCATTTTCGGATCGTCCTGTCACAGTGACTTGACGAGGACACGGTACATTTTGCGAAAATGAGGCCAATCCGTCCCCAGACCAGGTCATCTCATCCCGTCTCTTACCGCCGGCGACGGTGGCAGTCTCTACGAGGCGGTGTGGCGTTGGCAAGCGTTGTAGCTGACGGAGACTCGAACCCTGATCCTGTCCCGCCACGAGTCCCGCAGACGGCGGACTCGCTGCAAGTGCAAAAGAGCGCACGCAAGTTGGACTCCCCCAATGCGCCTGCTTTAGCGCAATCTCTGCTCGACACATCTTCATAACGGTCAGAAA